TTATATATATCCTACAAAAACCGTTTTATATATTCGTTGTCATTACTGTGGAGTTCACAATCCAAAGCAAGCTTATTCAAAAATATCATGTGATGTATTAAAGGTAGTATACATATATACATATATATACATATATATATATATATATATATATATATATTATATCATAAATAAACAATTATCCTGTTATTTCTGTTGTCTATCAACGACTCGGACGTCACAGCTTATAGGCACCATCAATACTACTTCATGGCTAAGTCATAGGGCCGTACTTTAAAACCACCGCCAGCTATGCTCGACTTTCTCGGGGCGTTACGCGTTTTCTGCTTCTTTTTAATGTTTTGTGTATGCATGTGTGTGTGTGTGTGCCTGTGCGTGTAAATGTGCGCACATGTGCGTGTGTTGGTTAGTGCATGTGAAGTTAACCGTGGCTAATGGAAAGACGTCCTTCCCAGAGGGGAGTCCAGGAGACCAGGGACGACGAAGACGACGAAGACGACCTCAAGAAGGGTCTCCGCATGGACGACGACGACCTCCTCTCCCTCGCCCTCGACATGTCCGCACAGGAGGCCGAGAACAAGGAGTACAGGCATCTGGTCGCCGCCTTACTCGACGGCATGGAGGGCGACGTGCAGGTCCTCACGCGAGATATGATATGCATAGGAAATATGTTAACTGTAAACTTGATCATGAGACAAACTTTTCTCTAAGCTGTCCTTCCTGCTAGCAACCCAGTCCCATTGCATCACCTTCGAAATGAGGCATCAGCATTAATTTCTACAGCTGAACCATCGGCTTTAGGTCAACAACAGTTTCAGAGCCAGCACCAGCCTCTCCATCATGGAGAGCTGAGACCTGTAGCGGATGTTGTTGCAGAAGACTGACCTGATGAAATGAGATACTTATATGAACATGAACAACGAAACTAATGTGGTAAATATATATTATAATTAATATATTATATATATATATATATAAATATATATTTGCATATATGCATACTTCTCTCTCTTCTCTCTCTCTCTCTCTCTCTCTCTCTCTCTCTCTCTCTCTCTCCATATATATGTATATATATATATATACATATATATATATATATTATATATATATATATATATATATATATATATATAATATATATATATATATATATATATATATATATATATATATATATATATATGTGATGGCATTTCTTTTCTCAAGATAATCTAGAAATATAACATACACACACAAACACACATTACACACATTACAAATACACACACATACACATACATACAAAAGCACACACAGACACACATGGACACACACAAACAAACACATACACTCACATAGGCACACACAAACACACACACACACACATATATGTGTGAGTGTGTATATGTGTGTTTATGGGCATCTTTGGTAGATTACAAACTCCAAACGCGTAGGACTTTGGCTGATGTCGTTATTCTTCATAAACTCCGATTGGCTGGTGAATGCGCTGTTAGACGTAGAATGCGTTACGAAAAAAAACTATGTACAGTCTCATTTTCCACAGCACGGGCAATTATCTCTCTCCCTTTCTCTCTCTCTCTCTCTCTTTCTTCTCTGTCTCTGTCTCTGTCTCTCTCTCTCTCTCTCTCTCTCTCTCTCTCTCTCTCTCTCTCTCTCTCTCTCTCTCTCTCTCTCTCTCTCTCTCTCTCTCTCTCTCTCTCTCTCTCTCTCTCAGATCCCTTCTCTACTTCCCCTCCACCCTCTCTCTCTCTCCGATCCCCTTTCTACTTCCCCTCCATCCCCCCCCTCTCTCTTTGCCCCCCCCCTCTCTCTCTCTGCTTTCCACCGCTCTCTCCCTCTTTCTCTGCTAATCTCTCTCTATCTCTCTCCTCTTTATCTCTCTTCTCTTTCTCTCTCTCTCTCTCTCTCTCTCTCTCTCTCTCTCTCTCTCTCTCTCTCTCTCTCTCTCTCTCTCTCTCTCTCTCTCTCTCTCTCTCTCTCTCTCTCCTTTCTCCATTTTTTCACAATTTTTCTTCTGTCTCTTTCTATGTCTGTCTATCTGTCTCTCTCCTTTTCTCCCACTTTCTCATTATATCTCTTCTGTTTCTTTCTCTGTCTGTCTGTGTTTACACACATCTTCCGATTACAGGAGCGAGATATATTTTTTTTCTCGGCTTTACAGAGGCATGTCTTCGAAAGTTGTCTCCCTTTATGGCTAATAAAGGCAGATTACTTGTTCAAACATATATATGCGCTGTATTCACAACATACAAAATCGAGAAAGGGATTGAGACGCATTCGCTAAGAAATTGTTTTCATTATTCTTTTAAAAAGGAATATATAAGGCATGGACATGGTATATTTCTTCGTCCACTAGATACAGGACGCTCTACAATTATATCTAATGCATTTCTTTTGAAAAATATAAGCATAAAATGCCTTTGGTAGAAAAAAGATAATCAAAATAGGCGCCATATATAAAATCATTTTTAAAATCCTCTCTCTCTATCTCTCTATCTCTCTCTTCCTTTTCCAATTTGTTTATGACTGTATTCACCATATGCCGTAAAAGTCGTGTCTCATGCCTTGAAGGTGAGAACCTTAAAGAAATCAACGGAAAAAGGCATTCATAACGATAACTGCAGTATTTGTTCTGCAACTAAAAAGATCATTTACATGCGCGGAAATAAAAAGAAAAAATCATATCCTATATTTCAAATGCATCCTTAGCTCATAATATGGTCGCAGCTAAACGCTTGACTATCACAGTATATTTATCAACGCCGTTTCATAAACTCGATAAGGTAAAGATCTCTTCAAGGTCCCATGAGGAATGATTAACGCCTCCCAAAATCAAGGGTTCCTTATTACAGTACGTGGAGATAAGACTTGCAACTGGGAACAAGCATTTTTTTTCTCTCTCTCTTTTCTTTTCCTGTTCATATAGTTGTTTCACAAATTCGGATATCAATTTTCATTTGTTTTCTAGTCACTTCTTTCGGTATTATTTGTAGCATACATTTCTCATTTAGAGCCCCTTTCTGCTCATCCTTGTCTCTCTCTTCCTTTTCTCTTTCCTTCTTCTCCCTCCTGTCTGTATGTCTGTCGGTCTCTCTCTCCTCGACCCTCTCACTATGTCTTTCTCTCTCTCCCTCCCCCCCTCTCCTTTTCCCCTCTACCTCTGCCTCTTCTCGCCTTCCCTCTTCGCATGTGTATGTGTTTGTGTGCGTGAGTGTGTGTGCGTGTGTTTGTGTGTGTGTGTGTGTGTGTGTTTGTGTGTTTGTGTGTGTCCGGAGTAACGCCAACACCAGCAACACCACTGCCGATGCAACACCAGAAGCCATGAGGGTGACTTGCAATCTCGAGTAGTTTTAAATATTCAAATGATGATACAGACAATAAGAATCGATTTATATATATATATATATATATATATATATATAACATATATATATAGATAGATAGATAGATAGATAGATATATTGTCTCACACGTGTTCTTTTTTTTTCTTTTTTTTTTTAGAGAGAGAGAGAGAGAATGTTACAGTGTTGTTGAGAACTGTCATTTCGGTATTGTGTTCTCGTCCTTACGTGGGTCACACCATGTCAGATCTTCGCCCTTATGGAGTACTGTCATATTAGTTATTTTCGCGTGACCTAATACACGCCGGAAGGGGCGATACAGGCGTTCACAAAAAGCTTTTGGTGAAAATGAATGACTTTGGTAATCACGTGATAGTCATGATCAAAGTAAGAACGATGATCATGCTAATACTACTGCATCATTCAAACGCTTTATTGCCTTAAAATCTACATCGGAACAGAAAATATTCAAAGAAATGAAAATAAGGGACTGGATTATATATTGGTTTTACAACTACACAAGGCCTATTTGAGGGAATCGAGATGTTAAATCATCAATCTGACTGAACTTTATTGGTCTTAGTGGATCAATGCATATGGTAAACATAACAGTTCGGTGATATTCTTTGAGAATATCGAGTAAATTATACAAATAACTATGTATCTAGCTACATCTGATATCACACGGTGCACTCTCATTGGCTAAACGTGGTGGTCATACAAAATGTGTATGATATTTTATGATTAGTTTTTTCAATGTATTTTCTTTGAAAATGGTGGACTAATGAAATGCC